CCAGTGTCGCCTTCTCCCTCCCTCTCTGGCCGGGTTTCGCTGTGTCTGACCTGGAAGATGCCTTCTTCTGCTATTATCTGAGGTGACCTTGTCCAGTGCCACCTTCTCCCTCCCTCTCTGGCTGGGTTTCATATCTTTCACTATACAGAATTTAAAGAGACTTATATAGCTAAGTTCACATACTTGTTCATGTCACATTAATTTGCTCATTTAATTTCTTCTTGGGAAATCTGTTAATCAAATATAGATGTCTACATTTGTAATAATCATGTCTGGTGAAGGAAACTGAAAATAATATTTAGCACATTAACACCTAATAGCTTAATACACTGAAGTCAGCCGTAAATAAGTTTAGAGGGTGAAGCTTTGCTGCTTCTCCTTGGAGGCAAGGATTCTGAGGCTTCATCTGATATACTTTAGGCATGTTACAAGGAGGAAGCAGTCCTTGGATAGGGGCCTCATGTTTGGAAGGGTGGAGGGACAGAGAAAGAGAGGGAGACCATTGATGAGATGAACTGATACTGTGACTGTGGTAATGAGGGTAGGTGTGTCTGAGATAGTAAAGTTGGCACAGGATAGAGTAGGTTTTAGGGTTGTTGTACACAGGATTACTATGAATTGCAAGCCACTTATAGGCACATAACAACAAGCACAACAATTTAAAGTGTTGCAAATATAACTTAAATCTTTCTAGTGTGCAAGGAGTCATGCCACCAACCCAAAGGCAAATATTTCACAGTGGCTCTGTGAAATAATATAGATAATATCCTCTTACTAGTTTTCAAGCACCTGAAAAATTTATAGAGGTCAGCTTTGAGTAGGTTCTTACTTGATATCAATGAGTTGAATATTTTTGTTTGTTTGTTTTTAAATAAAGAAACTCAATGAAAATGAAAAGAAATACCTATACTCCTAATAGGGTTTTAATGATAAAAACAACTGTAAAGATATATGTCTATTAAAGCATATTTTCAAAATGTAAAAATGAAATTCTATATGAGAAATCTAGTACATGAGGGAATAATATAACAGGATGACAAAAGTTGTAGATACTCTTTATTACACACATACACACGTACCCACATAATGCTATCAAATCACAACCAAGTCATAGCTAGCCTTCAGTCAGATTTCCAAGAATGTATATCACACTGTAGGAAATTTGCATCTTTCTTCTGACAATACTTCTTAATCTAGGCATGGTTTTCATATGAGCACCATTAAAGGTTCTGAGATTCACATTTCTCAGTGTTAGCCATAGTTTTTTGTGATACACATAGTTAAATGCCTTTGCATAGTTTTCAGCCCAGAACCATCTGATATCAGTAATCATATCCCTGTTGTCACAGACTTTTGTAAACACAGCTTAAAATTCTCACAGTTCTCGAACTATGTACTGTTCCACCCATTTTTGGACCATTTCCAGGAATATTTTGCTGGCAT